GGGAGAGAGGGTGAGAAAGAGAGAGGGAGGGTGGGGGGGGTAGACAGAGGTAGACAGAGGTAGACAGAGGTAGACAGAAGAAGGGTAGAGCGAAAGAGACCTTCGAGAGAGAGAGAGAGAGAGGGGTGAGAGAGAAGAGAGTGATGCGTGTGTTTCTGTGTTTGTGTGTGCGAGAGAGTGAGAGCTAAAGTTAGAGGGACGCGGGAGGGGGACCAAGCGCTCGAAAAAAAAAAATCGTACGAATGCACACCATCAAATAGCAAGAATTTTAGCGTCAAGATATGTGCAAGCTTGTCAAGGTTTCGCCCCGATGTTCGTACGAGCGCTACATCGTCTGCACGCACATCTACCAATTCGTGAACACGTTGACGTTGAGATGGCCGTCACATGGCGTGAACCAACACCGGTGTGGATTGCCTCTCAACCGCCAACATAGCCCGGAATAGGCTGGCCCCCAGCGTGTGCATAGCGCTCCTATTGGGCCAAACCTTGACAAGCTTCGACACGTCGTGACGCCAGAAATCTTCTTATTTGATCGTGTGCATTCGTCGGTAGTGAACGGCCGCCCCCCTCCCTCTTCAACGACGTGTTGATAGTGGTGAAAAATATCTTCTTGCTGTGTCCTCTTGGTAGTGTGCACGAGTATTTGCACATGACACATACAGGCAGACGGCGGAGAGATTGATTCCTTTTCGTGTTGTCGTCACAAAATATGTACCCTTCCATGAAAGGGGTACGGTGTGCTTGCTGTTGGGTGCGTGTTTCGTGTCGTGTTTTGTTTCAATGTGCTATTGAATTTCATTTCTGGGGACACAATAATATACTTCTACAGTATGCCGTATTTGCGTTTTTCGTGAGCCACTCACTGATTTTAAGTGAGGCAAAAAAAAAAAAATAATAACTCACTGTTGGTGGGACAGTCCTGGATGAAGTGCCCCGGCTTGCAGCACCGCCGGCACACGTAGTTCGGGGGCAGCGGGCCCTGCGGCGCCCTCCTCCCGACGCCCATGCTGTCCATCCCCGGGGGGGCCGTGACTCCGGCAGGACCCCTATCCTCGTAGACAGACAACGCACACACGAGAAAACAACGAGCGGGGGATACGCAGAAAATATGAACACAAAACTTCGAAAGCATGGAGCAAATTGAGACATTTCGCGGGGGTAACAGGGGACGGGAGAGGGGAATATGGGCCGTGACATGTGCCTCGTCGATTTGAAGAGGAGGGTTTCGGGCATTTTCCTTAGAAAATACTTTTGGGGACCAAGCAGCCTACGGTGTCCCCGGACCACAGCAAAGAGCACAATACTCATCTCCACGTCGGCAAGAACGGGCCAGCCTAAGGAGTCATCACAGCACCATCGACGCCGGCAGCAGAAGCAACAGCAACCGCGACGAGCATAATCTAGAACAACAGCCACAAGCGATCTTACAGCAGCATCATCAACAACGACGACATCGACGTAGACAACAAAAACAACGCCAGCAACAACAGGCAAATCGACTGCTGCATCTTACTCAACGGCAGCAGCAACAACAACGACAGCCAAAGCGATTACAGCATCGTCATCAACGGCAGCATCAACAACAACTAAACAACTAAACAACACATCCGACAAAGCGAGAAACGACCGGAGCAAGCGCGGGTTACCGTAATAGTCGGAGAGATGGTATGCCCGTATTTCTCCGATAACTAGGAGGGTGCGAACACCAACCGATACCTGTCAGGAAAGCTCTCGACGAAATGTTGCCAAAACTACCCTTTTCGGCAGTGCTTTCCCCCTCGTCATGGAGAAATACGCTGTGAAAACAAGGTAACACGGGGTCGGGCCAACTCTCCGAATATTACGGCAACTAACGTATGTACCTTCCAACTCGACCGCCGGGTCCTACACCCGCGGGCCCCCCTGGCCGCCCGAAAGTCATAGTCCGGTTCGGCCCCGTCCCGGCCCCGTCCGCGGTCCAACTACGATTAGCAAACCCGTGTCTGCATTTGCACAAAAAACAGAGAGAGAGGAAGAGAGAGAAAGAGAGAGAGAGAGAGAGAGAGAGAGAGAGAGAGAGAGAGGGAGCGAACGCGCACATGAGGGAAATTCAAGCAGACATTACGGCGGAAAAGGATGATCAACCGTTTTACCACTGCATTCGACAAGACACAACGGTTGAACCACTGTTGGCAAGCGACTACTTGTTGAGATTGTCACGGTAAGCTCGTTCTCAGGAAAAGTGAAGAAAAAAAAAAGGGGGGGGGGGGGGGGGG